GCCTAGGCGTGCAACCATCCGCCTATATGTGTCAAGCGTACGCACCTAAAATAACGCCTGTTCTGTCTCGATCTGGTCCCCGTGTTGGCCCAGCGCACCTACCAGGTGGCCCGTTGTAGAGGCACATAATTCAAAACACCACCACAAGCAAGCAGTTTTAATCGAGACATCACCGAGTCCACCTCTAGGGCAGGACTTCAAACCTTTATCCAAAAATCTGACTTCGCCAGTGATCACTGTGTGCTAAGACAGTAGTCCAGGATGATGGGCACAATAAATCCCTCGTCCTGTTTTCAGTCCTATCCTTCTAATTGTGACTTGGCCTGATGACTGATGCGTACAAGGCGCATTACCTACTTGAGCCGTTAAAAAACCGCCATGTGCTGGACACACCACCTCGAATGTAGGTTGACTTTCTGGTTATCACCATTTTGTTTTTGCAGAACCCACTTATTCTGACTGTTGTCCGACATTGCCTGCAACCTCGGGTGCGTCCGCTCCGGTGAAGAAAGCGACATTGAGCCAAAGTTACTCAATGAGCAATGATAAACTTATTCAAGCATAAAAAAAATAGTAGAAAACAGTTTTCCGTAACTGTAGAAACAAGGAAGGACTGCCTCGTGCACTTCGTTTAACGGGAGACGCCAACTCCAAATAGAGTATGCCGCCCCACACCTACTAACTGTTGTGACGGTGACTTCAGTGGTGTCACCGTCTAGTCAGGCCCTTTGGAATTCCCAATGAAGAACACAATGAGAAGGGCGTAACTTTGGAATCCATCCGGAGAAGGGTTTATTGTGTACAAAACCCGGAGTTGCTTTCTCGGGTGGCAGTTGCCGCTGGTTAATCTCCAGCGCGCTGTTGTCACGTCTCGGGGCTAGCTCGGCCATCGAGAGCGAACTGGCGGTGTCCTCGCAGTCCGTGTGTAACTCACTGTCTGAGAGGTGACAGTTGCTTATAAGTGATTGTCAAGCGCATTCGCTTCTGGCCTGATTGGACGCATTGGGATAAGGTCACGCGACCAGTTGGCACGCGCCTAGGCTTGCGTGTGTCTCTATTATCTCCGGAGGCTTATGTCATCGCGTGGCGCAACCACCGCGAAGGCATATGACCTTGAAGGCAGTCCGCTGTTGACAAAGGAAGTATTGTGGCAGTCGGCGACAGGCACGACGCCTCAGAAGAGCCTGCACGGTTGCTGACATTTGGTCAGGCTAGACTCCCAACAATAACAACTGAAGGACGTACTGAGGTGAAAAGAAAGATCGAGACAAGACTAATGGGGCTTATACGACCGCGCAACACCATTAAAGTGGTCTAGAAAATGATTTTAAGCCGCTAATAGGCATCCGCAGGGTACCAGTTGGAGCTGTCAAAACATGCAATTCAGAGGTTCTATGGCAATCCCAAATTTACCCATGCTTGCATAATAGGGTTTTTCAGTCCCTATTCAAAAAACGGAAGACAGCACCATGCGCTCCCTATTCAGCATAATACTTTACGGTATTAGTGGCTCTGCTCTCCGTGAATCGGAGCAAATAGCCATTCGATAAATTGCTGCATTACAAGCCGATTATTTGGAACTGATCTTCGTGAAACGGAGATTCGCAAAATGCGATGCAGTAGTCTGTTTATATGCTGAATTTTGCGAGACGTACACATTAAAGTAACACACGCTCTGAACAGTGATTCACCCCTGTGCGTTTTCAGCATATTTTTGATTCGCAGAGGTTGTATGCGGTGGTAATACAGTGGCAAAGGACGCAAATTGAAGGGCGCAGAGCGTGACACAAACAACTGCAGAGGCCAGGACAAAATCGAAAAACCATTGCTGATCTGTGAGTTTAACTAGATCTTTAAATCTCCTCGGGCAACTCACAGAGGGGTCTATGGAAAAAAAAATATTCAAAGTCTGTAAAATTATTCCTCAGACGCTATAACAACATCTCGTTCAGTACGAGAATAATCAATCACGAATCAACGGTGAATAATAGGCCGTTTGTAGAACAGAGCAAAGACCAAAAACATTCGGTACTTCATTACATTAGTTACCTAATTACGTCGAGGAGGTTGCTATTATTAATAGGCAATTCTTCCAGAACAATAGCAAATACGATACCGAATAATCGAATAGCAGATGGTGGAAAGACTAACGTCAGGGACAATAGCCTACGCAATCGGATCGGGACCCCTTCAAAGACATGAGTTAATCAAAATAAAATGTGAAAGCACAGGGTTATATTGCAATAAGGATTGATTCGAAAATTGTGTATCTAATTATCTACTGTGAGGTAAATGAAACGATTAAATAAATAAGCCAATAACAGCAGCAAGAACCTGTAATTACCGAATTTTTTCACGTTTTCTTTAAGCCAAGAGGACAACTGCTCAGGAGCAAAGTCTGAAGTTTTCACGCCGAGAATGCCACCAGATGGAAGAATTAAATGCATACAGGGAAGCGACTGTGCGGCATATATGGCAGTGAATTGCTTGTAACCGTCGGAGTCCGCTGTTAACAAAAGACCTGCAAGAGGAATAAGATATATAAAGTGTTAGGTGAAAGCAATAATGATGCAAATACCCAAGGCAGAAACGGCAACGGATTAACAAAGCTCAGGATACATTCCTATCTCGCTACATCTATCAGTTGTCAGCAGAAACAGAAAAATCATATAAAGCATGGGTCCTAGTTAATTGTTTATGTAGGTAGGAAAGAAGCAATATAAACGACTCAGGGAAAGCACTAAACACGAGGCTTTGAGCATCAACCTAAGAGGAAGAACCAAAACCTTGTGAAGAAATTAAACGTCCTAATTATTTGAAACCGTATCCCAAAAGAAGACGATTCCACGTGGTAATGGCTATAGATTAGGAAAAAAAGCGAGAGGTGGCAACACTAGATAAGTCAGCAGATTTGTTTAACGATAACCCAAGTACCCTTCATAGCATGGCATGCAAAAGTAACAACTTTCTACAAAAGGACCATATTAGGTAATGCATGCATCACGCGTGTAAACCATGCCATTGGCAAGTCACTGGGGGCCATAAGAAGACTGTTGGTATGTGAACCAAGGCAAACGGGAAAAAACAGCATGATAAGGCAAACAAGTAAACGGCGTCAAACAAAATCGAAATTTTTTTGCAGGAATAAACACGAGAAAGATAAAAGACGGACGAAATTAAACCTGGCAAGAACACGTCTGGGATCGGATATCACTGGCCGTTCTGGTCTGTTATAACGGAGGCCAAGACCGAAATATCATCGCACAATGCGTCGCCAAATTGTTGTAACGGAGCCTAGGCCAAAATATTCGCCGTCCAACTACGCCTCGTGTGAGCCCCCCCAGAGAGAACATAGCAAGAGGT